TAACAACTGTGTGTAGGGAAGAAAAGGGCCCTGATCCAAGGGAGCTTACGGAGCCTAGCCCTGTACCTAGCATGGGCCAGTCTCCAAAGTGACTCTCCACACCACCACACACACTGAAATTGCTCCTTTGGCAGAAAGTTCACAATCCCTGGGAGAGGGGTGGGTGTCTACCTCCCACCACACCAACCCCACTTCATCCTTTGGGGCTCTTAGGAACAAGGACCATCTCTCCTGCACAGGATACTCCCTCCTCAGAGCTGTCCTTCCTTCTCCATGTCTGCCCTCCCCCTGGCCAACCAGTCTCCGCCCTTTCGTCCCTCCCTGTGTGCCTGACTGCCTGCCTTCCCCTGCCGGTCCCACCCTGAGAGGGTGTTGCCAGGTGGTCCTCGTTAGTTCAGCAGACTCCTCTCAGATGCTGGCTATGCCAGGGGAATCACGGCTGAGGGATGAGACACACCTGGCCTCCAGCATCCTCCCCATGAAAGCCGATGCTCACAGGATACTCAGCCTCAGCTCACTGCCCTGAGCCACGTGACTCCACCCTGTCCATCTGGCTGCCCTTGGACCCTTCCTGCGCCTAAGCCCATACATAGTCCGGCAGCGTCTTCCGGGGGACACCTCCTGCCAGACTTTCAGGACAAGGCACCCAACAGGGTAAAGTGGAAGCCACAAGAGACCATATTAGGGGAAAATTGCAGAAAGCAAAATGAAGGGTGCCCTACAGAGGAAAGTTAGCCTTGTGACTCATGTGCCCAAGAATATTCCATGCAGGGCTGGTTCCAGGTCATGCCAGAAAGCCAGGAAGCCCAACCTAACCCAAGCCACTTTGAGACTGACCAGCTGGGCGTTAGGCTGGGTCACATGCCTTGGCCACCAACTCCCGGCAATACTGACATGTCATTTGTATTCTTGGGGGTCCTGACATGACCCCTCTGAGATAGGAATGGGGACATTCCTAGGTAGGGCTACTGGGCCACCTCTGACGGCAAGACCATGAGCAAGGTACAGGCAAAGCCAGCGTTTCTCTTGAGCCCAGCTTGTCCCACCTCCAAGGCCCCCCCATGAACTGACCCCTATCTGTCCTGTCTACAGCAGCCAGTACCATGGGGGACTGAACTCACTTACTATCTCAGGTCCATGTGGCTCTCAGCCACAGGAAGCCTGGGTAAAGTAGAAACTCCCCCAAGCACCTGCTCTCATGAACACCCCTCACCATCTTGGACACTCTAGTCCCACGTCTCAGAGGATCCCCTCACACTGAATGAGACAATGTCACAAGAAAACGTCAGAGATTGGAAGCCGGGTCCCAGAGGCCCAACCGGCATGCTGGCTCTTGTACATGTGTCTGCTCCCAAATGGGACTCAACACTTGGGTCCTCACGGTGCCCAGTGAGTGACTTTCCAGAGATGCCTGGCTGGCTGGCTAGGGAGTCACTCCCAGGTCCCAACCCAGGCTGAGGAAAGCTCATGGTGTTCTGCCCTGAGGGTGTGCTGGGCAAGCCTGGCAACAACTCACAAGAAGAAATCCAGCAGCCCAGACAAAGTGTGGCAGGTGGGCAAATCTCAGGCATCTCTGACAGGCACGGCATCCCGGGATAAGCCAGACAGAACAAGGATGATCCAGGTCCCGGTGAGAAAAGCAGGCACTTTGCAGGGTAACACTGCTAGGTTCCAGCTACAGGGCCACCTCCACAGCTGTGTGACCCTGGGTGAGCCTCCTCTTACAGCAGTCCTGGACAAAGTTGGGGTTGGAACACAATACGATCCCTATCAAAGAATGGTTGCCCTTTCCTCCCAGGCAGGCCTGCAACTCAGCTACCAGGTTAAGATCTAAGTCCCCCAAAGCCAGTTCAGACAAGCTTGTGATGGAGGCTAGATATGAGTTAATATTTACCTGCAGTGACCCAAACCTTGCAGAACACCGGGCATGCCCCACCCATGGGCCAGGCAGGAAGACGGGGAGGGAGAGAGAGCCTGGGAACCTGAAGAAGATGAAAAAGCCAGGCCAGCCCCCACCCCCACCCCCCGCCCAGCCAGAGCATCCAGCTGTGAAGACCTTAGCAGCTGACACTCAAGGGCCCATTTCCAAAGGACCTGAGGCCGTGAGCACATGGCCCTAGAGACCCCACAGCTGGCCCTAGTCTCTAAGGTCATGACTCCATGACCCTCACCAAACCCAAAGTTCACTTTGCCTGTTTGGACCTGAGTTTCCCAGCAGTCTCAGGGAGAACCCACAAGGCAGATGAGTCATCAGACCCCACGGCTTGTGGGTTGCCATCCCCAGACACAGACGGGAAACCCATCAGAGCACTGAGCCAGCTCGAGGAGGTCTTAGTGTCAGTCTGAGGTACAGGTAGGGTTTGAATTCAGTCTTCCCTCTTTGAGACTGTTCACACCAGCCCACGGAGGCCAGGCTGCCTGCAGAGGACCTTCCTTCCCTGGACTCTCACTGGATTCTAACTATACTCTGGGCACTGATATGACTCTCTTAGTCCTTGCGACAGCTGTTAACAACAACCCCAAATTGAGAAACTAAACAGAGAGAAAGAGAGGTTGTGACGCTGAGCCAATGCCACACAACTGACAAGCGTCAGAAGTGACTGAGGAGGCTAAGGGTCTCAGCCACCATCTCTATAGGACTCCACTCATCACACATCCCCAACTGTGCCTAGGACATGAGAGCACCAAGGAAGGGCTGAGGAAGAGAGCTAGGACCCCCTCAGCTTTGCCTGTGACAGGACAGCATGTAACAGTATCATTCCCCTGCCGCGACACAGCCTACAGCTCCTCAGTGTGGCTCAGAGGCCCTGTTCTGACCCGTCGGCTAACCCCACCACTTGTTGGCATCTCCTGTGGACCAGGCCTTGTGGGAAGATGAAGACAAAAATAACCTGAGCTTGGGAATGGAAGAGGTGCCCACCTGCCCCAGCTCCCCAGGGCAGGACCCTGTCTCCATCCCAAGGCTGTCCCCCACCTCATCTGCCTGGGACCCTCCCATTACCTCTTGAGACTCAGCCCAGGCTAAAAGGCTCCCGCAATGACCACAGGATAACCAGCCACATGACCACAGGATAACCAGCCACATGCCCTCTGAGCACCTGAAATTCAGGGCTGCAGCCACTTGTTTTGTTTTCTGACTCCCAGAGGGAAGTGATGATGCTTCCACTGTCTCTCCAGATCCTAGAGGGTCCTCGGCACACACCGGGAGGCCAAGGAGCCGGGTGGCGGGTGGATGGGAAGATGAAGGGTGGATAGATAGATGGATGGGTAGATGGGTAGGAGGATAGGTGGTGGATAGATGGATAAATGGATGGTTGGGAGTATGGATGGGTAGGTGGAGAGGTGAATGAGATGGATGGATGGATGTATGGACAGACGGACGGATGGATGGATGGATGGAATAATGCATAGTAGATGGGCAGATGGATCAGTGGACGGATGGCAGTGTGGGTAGGTGGATGGAAGGATGAATGAAGGATGGGTAGAAGACAGGTAGAAGATGGATGATAGGTGAGTGGATGGATTGGTGTTTAGATGTGTGGATGGGTTAAGGGATGAATGGGTCGATGGTAGATGGGTAGATGGATGGATACAGGAGGGTAGATAATGGGTGGGTGTGTAGATAGATAAACGGATGGATGAATAAGCAAACAGATGCATAAATGCCAAGACAGCTGAACAACCAAAAAGATGGAGGAATGAATGAATAACTGAAAGAAAAATGACAGGAACTTATAAGAAGTGTTTTGGAGCCCTACTCCCACCTAGAATGTTCTAGAGCTCAGATCCCCAGGAACTCCAGCTGTATCCCAAGCTTCAGTCTGACTCAGACATCTTGCAGACAGCTGTTTCCCCAACCCGGCTTAGACCTCCTCTATGATCGCCCCGTCTCCATCACCAGACGCGCAGAGCAGGTAACACCACAGGCTGTGACTGGTCCGACAGTCATGTTCTCTACACTAGCCTTCATAGGTCTCAACAGATACCTCCTAAATGAAAGAAAACAAACAAACCAAAGACCTGGGAGCTTTGAAAAGCCGGGCCCAGCAAGGTCTGCCGGCCCCGGGCATCTCTGCGGGTGCGAGTCAAGCACGTGCATCCTGTACAGAGTCACCAGCGCAGTGTTGGCGTACCAGGCACATACCCAAGAGGAGCCTCCGGAGGCTGCTGGAGGCTGCTGCAGAGAAAGGCAGCTTGGAGCCGAGCCGCAGAGGGCTCCCACTCACATGACAGTCACTCGGCCAAACTTCTCCAGGTCTGAGGGTCTCGAAGCTGTCTCCAAGCTGGTCCCTAAACTGCTGGCTTCAGACCCACCTGAGTACAAGAAGCTTCACATGCAGATTCTGGCCTGGGCCGACCTCATTGGTAGAGCACCAGCCTAACATGCACCAGAGTGGGAATGAAAGCAGACCCTGGGCTCCAACCCCAGTACCCCCCCAAAAAAATCACATCCCAAACTCTCCCAATTCCTCCCTAAGAGGCCTGGGGATCAGCATTCTTGGCAGGCCGTCCAGGGCCCCACCTGACACACACTCAGGTCAGAATGCTGGCTCCTGGGTTCTCCAGGGCTCAGGACCATCTGTCTACACCTGCTACCTTTGCACACACTTGGCCCGCTTGGAGAAAGTCCCTGGTGCGACATCCAAACTTTCTAGGAATCACTGGATGAATCTCCCTCCCGCTCTCCTTGCCCACGTGTCTGCCCCTACCATGAGCCAGGTTACCCCGGCCGGCCGGCCATCCCAGCCAGGTTGCCGCCCCAGGCAGCCTGTGGTTACAGTTAACAAGACCCATGTTCAGGGAAGTGACATCAGACAACCAAGGAGCACAAACAGGCTAGGAATGAGAGTTCTATTGGTCCCAGGTCCTAGGGATGTCCCCAAACTCCACAAGCAATAGTGTCTAAGTTTAAAGGTGTCAAAAGTCCTAAAGAATCATGCACACCAATATATACATTTGGGGCAACATCTGGGTCCTGCAATACATTACAGGTTACTCACTCGGAGAATGGAGACATTCAGAGGTCAGGAACAGTAGGGAAATCACAGCAGAATAATGCACGTGTTAAAGGCTCTGAGAAGTCCTGCAGCACCAGAGCCTGATGAAACGACAAAGATAAAGAGACTTGTTGACTTGGAAGACTTTCAAGCCCTGGTTGGGTCAGGGCTAGAGAGTGGAAGAGGTGGGGCTAGAGTGGGAGAGGTGGGGCTAGAGAATGAGAGAGGCGGGGCTAGGGAGTGAGAGAGGCGGGGCTAGAGAGAGGCGGGGCTAGAGTGGGAGAGAGGCGGGGCTAGAGAGTGGGAGGAGGGACCTGAGCTCAACCTGCCTCCAGAGTCCACCCTGGTAACCAGTGTGTCAAGTATTTCTTACTGAGTGAATGTTCCCTTAAGTTAAAGGCCTGATCACTCCCTGTGGTGTTACTGGGGTGAGGAAGAGGGAGGATCCTTTAAGAGGTGGGGCCTAATGAGGAAATGAGGCCATTGGGGTACGCCTTTAAAGGGAATATTGGGATAGCCAGAGCATGGTGGTGCACGCCTTTAATTCCAGCACTAGGGAGGCAGAGACAGGGGGATCTCTGTGAGTTCGATGCTAGCCTGGTCTACAAAGCAACTTCCAGGACAGAGCTACATAGAGAAAACCTTGTCTTGAAAAAAACAATAAATAAATAAACAGGGACCTTGGCCCCTTTCTCCCTCTCTTTCTCTGCTTCCAGGCCACCACGTGGTAAGCGGCTTTGTCCCAAAACACACTCCTTATTGTGTAAGCACAGCACTGAGAGGTAGAGGCAGAAGCATTAGGAATTCAAAGCTACCCTTGACTAAATAATGAGTTGGAGGTCAGCCTGGGCTACAGGAGATCCCCTCTTTCTTTTTTAAATAATGAAGTTGGAGCCAGGCATGGTGGCGCACTCCTTTAATCGCAGCCCTTGGGAGGCAGAGGCAGGCAGATCTCTGTGAGTTCAAGGCCAGCTTGGTCTACAAAGTGAATTCAAGGCCAGCCAGAGCTACACAGAGAAACCCTGTCTCAAAAGAAGAAGAGGAGGAGGAGAAGGAGGAGAAAGAGGAAGAAGAGGAGGGGCTGGAGAGATGGCTCAGTGGTCAAGAGCACTGACTGCTCTTGCAGGGGATCCAGGTTCAATTCTCAGCATCTACATGGGTGGTCACAACTGTCTCTAACTCCAGTCCCAGGGGATCTGATACCCACAGACATTGTACACACGTGGTACACAGACATACATTCAGACAAGCCTATACATGTAAATCAAAAATAAATAAAATCTCAAAAAAAAATTTTTAAATGGAATGAGAAACCTTAGATGTTCAATCTGCCCATCTCACAAAAGAGGAAACTGAAGCTGAGGAAGAAGTTGGAGGTAGGGAGGGCAAGACTATTCATGCTCTCCTGGATGGTTGGAAGTGGGGTGTGAACCCAGGTGCCCAGCTCCAGGCTCCTGGCACACACCCTCCCTAAGACCCCAGAGTAGTAAAAAGCCCAAGACTGGGAACTGGGCTGCTGGGATCCCCAGTCTGGTCTACCTGACTAGGCCGACCACAGCACCAAGGCTTTGGGATAAAATGGGAACAATTGGAAAGACGGGGTGTCCCTAAGTGGGTAAGCGAAATCAAGGCCCCCCAAGATCCTACCCAGATGGCAGGCCTGCAGGAGACACACATGCTCAGGTAAACTGAGGCTGACAGGGACCCTCAGGGTTTCAAAGGAGGGCTCCAGAGTCACATGGGACAGTGTTCACCCCTGCTGTGTACTCACTCTGTGACTTTGGGCTAACTGCTCACCCTTTGCTGCCGCATCTATACAGTGGAGATAAATAAGCCTGCACATTACATACAAAACATCACCAGATGAGCCACAGTGACTGCGGTTAGGACTCCAGTCCTGCAGGCCATGTTCATGGTACCCCTGCTTTAGGAGGGGATGGGGAGACCCTTGCTCACCTCGGCTACACTCAGAAAGGGCGGGGCTCTGAAACCTGCCTGACACCTCTTGCCGTTCCCCAGCATGAGGCGTGGGCCTGCCATCTATGAAACACAGCTCCCCGGTGGGGCCACCTCCCTTGGTGGCCTCATGTGACCTGTGTTAATCGAATCCTGGACCAGACCCATGTGGTTTTCCCAACACTGCAAGGAAACAGACGCCCAGAAAGCTTTCATGCCGACCAAGTGGCTCCGGGAAGCCCCACGCCCCACTCCTCATCTCCAGAGGCCCCGAGACTACAAAGACAAAGGTCAAAGCCACAGCATCTGTCCTGCGAGCCCCTCCCTGGGGTTACTCAACCTCCTGCCTCTGCCCTGAGATGTCCTTTGTTTCATCTACCTTGTTATGCTCTGTGACCTTGGGCAGGTTGCTTAACCTCTCGGAGTCTCTGAAACCTCTTTTAAGAAAAAAGGAATGAGCAGAGTTTGGGAAACCTGAGGAAGCAAGAAAGGTTCAGACACGGGGCTAGTAATCCGGGGCTCGGACCAGCTTCAACGGGCTTCCTGTGTCTCCAGCCCCCTCCAAGCCAGGATGTCCCTGGGACAGAAAATTCTGGTTGTGTTATTCCCTGACCCAAACATCTGAAGGGCTCAAAGACCTTCAGAATAAGTCAGAGGGGTCCCATGAGAGGTGCAGGGTCTCCAGCAGCATTCCCCTGCCTCCAGATCCCTCCCTCCTCTGGGCTAACTTTGCCATTTACTTCACCCAGCACCTCCTCCAGTCTTCCCTTTCCCTGTGTTGGGTGGTGACCTGTCGGCCTTCCCTAGAGACTGAGCATGCCCATATCCTACTCCGCTGGGCATCTTGGCTCTGCACCTGTGCCTGTATCCAGTCACTTACTAAACGGGTGTCAGAGAAGAATGCAAAGCCAGACAGATGAAAACCACTGCATGCTTCTGGCATCCTCTTGGCAAGACTGAAGGAGGTCACCAAGGTCATGGACACAGTAGCTGGCCTGCTGGGGAGCCTCCCTCTCTCCCTCCTGCTCTCCCTCCCTCTCTCCCTTCCTCTCTCCTTCCCACACAGCTGGGCATTGTGGGAGCCTCTCTCCCAGCTCCGCCACCAGAATCATGCTTGTACTTCTGACTTCTGATCTTCCCAGAGTGCTGAGCTCAGCCCCACACCCCAGCACAGCAGGGTGGGTTCCTCCCAACCAGGTTCCCAGTCTCCTGTGGGGCCCCTGCCCACCCCCCACTGCACCCTCCAGCCTAGATGTTGAGCTCAAGTCTGACTCTCCACAGGTGCCAGTACACTTTGGATTTCCAGCCAACCTCTGAATGTGACCTCCTGAACTAAATCCTCAGTTTCCCCCACAAGCCATCCCCACAAACTGGCTCACTTACTGACATTGCCAACAACCACGGATACAAGAGAAAATTCTAGAAGTCACCTGATTCCTTCCTCCTGCCCCCCCCCCACCCGGTGCATGCAGTCCTAGCTCGCAATTCTAGCCGATTCTATCTCAGACACATAACCCTGATCCCACACTTATCCCAGCTCCCTGGCACAACCCGCACCTATACCCTGCTTCCCTCTGGCCCCAGGAGCCCACTGCCTTGTCCAGCAGATTGCTAAGATCTTCCTCAAGTGACTATGGCAACTCAGGGGGACTGAGGCAGGTGGAGCACAGGGTGGGTGTGCTAGGCATACGGTGCAAACCTTCCTGAACCCCACACCGGCCATCTCCATCTGTTTATCCCCTCCACTGGCCTGGAAACTATGGCCTCCCTACCCTGTGTCTGGCCCTCAGCCTTGGATAATATCCAGGCAAATGCCCCCAAGTCACGGCCACTCAGAAAAATTATCTGCAGACTTCTTAACAGATCATAAGGATTGGGGGGTGAGGCCTAGTGGCCATTCTGAGGTTGTTGATGGCCCTGGAGAGGGACTATGAGCCTCAGTTTCTCCCAGCTTCCTTTCTCTCTCCTACACTCCCACCATTATGATGCTATCTGCCTCGACCCCATCATCAGAGCCAAGAAGATGCTGTACAATCCCCTTGAACATCTAGAACTGTGAGTCATAAACGTCTTCGTTAACCTTGTGCTCTGTTACAGTAACAGAAAACTGACTCGTAAGTACATCTGCCATTAGAGAAGATCCACGAGGAAAGGGTGACAGCCTGCCTGCTCCTTGTAACTGAGAGGGATCAGAGCACGCCACCCCAAGGCCAGCGTGATGACCAGGCCTGACAACCTGAGTTCGATCCCCAGGACCCACGTGGTGAGAAGAACTGACTACCACAAGTTGGACTCTGACCTCCCCAGGAACATCACAGCGCATGCACACACACACACACACACACACACACACACACTCATGCACGCACACATGCACACACACAGGCACACAAAATAAATACATGTAAAGCATAAATAAAAAGAATGTTACCTCAAAATCTGTCACTCTGGTGTAAGAATACTTTTGAGCTAAAGGCCCTGAGCAGGCAGCAGGGACAGGAATGCTCTCCGCCTGTGCCCTCTGTCTAAAAGCAGGGCCTATGTTTCCCTTTGTGACAGGGACATAAATCCCTCCCCCTCAAACAGGAAGAAGAGGAATGTTGTCTGTATGCGGTGCCTACTGAACATCTGCGATGGACCTTCTTGATTGTCAACTGAACAGGATGTAGAGACCCTTAGGAGTCACATTTCATGGCCTACCCATGAGGGCATTTCCAGGGAGGTTAAAGGAGGTGGGAGACGCCCCCTGATTAGGGTCAACACTGTCTCCGGGGCTCAGGTCCTGGACTGCTAAGAAAGCATAAAATCGAGCTGAACACCAGCAGTCATCGCTCCCTGCTTCCTGACTGTGATACAACCCGCAGCCTCATAGGCTGCACCCCACCTGTGTTCCTTCCTCAGGCTGCTTTCGTCAGGTGTCGTCACAATGACAGGAAGGTGGCTGACGCAGCCTCACTTTACTACCGTTTCCTGGTCATTTTCCCAGGACTGACGACCCCTAGGCACTCAGCCTTCACACTTCTCCAGTAGTTCAGATTTATCACCCTGTGTTAACGTGGGACGTCCACTTCTTAGGGCTCTCTCCCAACTGCTCTAGGGAGCCCCAACACAGCCTTTAGAATTTAATATTTAAAATAATAATAAT